AAGCTGGAGCCGCTCGCCGGCAGCAGGCGGGCGCGAGGCGGCGTGGCAGCGAGGCGGCAGGGCGGCGCTGCTCTCGCGGCACGCCTGCGACTCGCCCGTCGCGCGCAGCTCCATCGCGAGGCTCCACTCGCCGCCCTCGAAGGAGTTGCGGTTGGCGATCCACCCCTTCTGCGACTGCTTCTCCGCCGTCAGCCGCACGAACCCCCTGTGCGCCACCGCGGAGCCGCCCAGCTCCCAGTCGGAGATAACGCGCATGCCCGTGAAGTCGTTTACGGCCTCGAACGGCGCCATAAAAGAGTGCTTCATGATAGGTGCGCCAGGAGCCTGCGCCGCGGCGGCTGCAAAGCAGCCCGCAGCGAGCACGAGCGGCCGCGTTCGGCTTGTAGAAGCGTGGCTTTGCGGCATGTCGCGGCGCGCTGTGATGTGTCAGCAAGTTCACTTTTCTTTCGCCTCCCTCCGCCGCCCTTCACGACGGATACCTTTCTACCTACCTACCTACCTACGGATAATGTAGTCCCCACACTCGCTGTCGTGGGATCGCTTGTCGTGTGAGAGACTGCGTTATATTCTTGTTTTGTAAGCGGTTTCTCTTTTCTTGTGCGAGATTGCAGATTCTTTTGTGGTTGGTGTCCAGTCAGGGCTCAGGCGGCTCAGGCGTCAGGGAGCTGGGGAGCCTCTCTGGGAGTGGGACTGTTCTTCACCTCTGATCCGGTCCTACCGATGTGCATGGAAGGACATGCGTCATGCCACAGGCACAGCAACCAGGACCAGAGCAAGAAAATGGCCTTCAGACACGAGTACTTGCCCGTCCTTGTGACGTAGTCTGTACGCTCTCTCTTCTTCCCGTCCCTTCGCTTCGTCTCCTCCGGGCCGCTCCGCTCGCGCTCGCTCGCGCCTCCCGCGAGGGCTCGCCTTTGTTTGTGTCCGGCGGCCCTCCCTCAGCGGATCCGGCTGAGCTCAAGGCCGGGGCAGCGCGCCGAGAGGGCCTCGGGCAGCGGCGGGCTCGCTTGCCCGCCCGCCCCTCCGATGCTCGAGATCTTCCAGAAGCGCAGCGTCTCGTCCGAGCCGGCGGAGAGGGCGGTCCCTCCGTCTGGGCTCACAGCGAGGTGTAGCACGCGGCCGCGGTGGCCGGTCAGCTGGGCGACGGGGAGCAGGTTGGGGCGCCACAGCCGGACCGAGTTGGAGGTCGAGTTCATGGACGAGAAGCCGTGGCTCGTCACCAGCTCGCGCCGCGCCACCGACCAGCGCACGCCCGACACCTGCGAGCCGGTCGCCACGCTTTGCAGCTCTCGCTCCGCGGCGGCGCCCGTGTCCCAGATGCGGATAGAGCCGTCGGTGGTGCCGCCGCCCGTCGCGAGGCAGTGCCTCCGCCACGGGCAAAAGTCCAGCGCCTTGACGGCCGCCGAGTGCGCCGTCAGCTCCAGCCTGGCCGCGCGGGGCGAGCGCACGTCGCAGACCCGGACGGTGTGGTCGTTGCTGCCCGAGGCGAGCTGCGCGACGCCGTCCGGAGCAAAGCGGAGGCCACACACCTCGCCGCGGTGGGCGGGAAGCGTGCAGGCGGCGCCGCCGCGCCGCCGCACGTCAAAGATGGCCACGGCACCGCCAGCGAACCCGGCCGCCAGCTCGTGAGGCCCGCCCCACGACAGCGAGGAGGCACGGCCCTCGCCGCCGCCGCCTAGCGAGGAGATGTGCGCCGTCGTCTCTTGCGCGTCGACCAGCTCGACCTTCCCGCCGCTCGAGCCGACGGCGAGCCGGACGCCGTCCCGCCGGAAGCCCACGGACGTGACGTAACCTCCCTCGTCCCCTTCCGCCGCCTGAGTCACGGGTTTGCCCTATGCCGGCGCCTCGCTCGTAGAAGATATTTGACCCCCCTCAAGCCCGACCCCCCCCAATGGTTGGTGCCCCGCCCTGTCCTACAACCTTTCGGGTACAAATTTTTTCCCGCCATC